AGCTCAACCCTAAACCCTAAGCCGCTGAAAAAACCTCTAAGCTTTAATGGTTTCATGCGAGCTCCTGATTATGCTACCTTTTCCTGTGCTCTTGAGTCTGAGAAGCCGTTAACTCTTCAAGGTTGAGGGTTCAGGGTTTTGGGTTTTGGGCTGCAAAAATGCGCCCTGAACCCTAAACCCTTGCGCCCAAAATCCGGTCGAGATCCATGTTCAGTCACGCTCTATAGATAAGATTCAACAGTATGGAACTATCATACACCCCCCAAACCGAAACAACGATTAGTAAAATACATCTACAAAGTATGTGATCGTTGTATACTGGACCCTTCAGGGAAATCATCCCTAACCAACACATGATAATCCCAGTTTTATGCTTCATTTTTCATGTCCATTTCACTCTCCAATATTGGGGCCTGTATACTGGACCCAGTGTTCACCCTAGCACTAACCCCAAAACCCTTTCAGGGTTGCAGGGCAACCAGGAGCTGAGCTCTTGAGCATCGCATAGGTGTGAGGGCTGAGCGTGAAACACGCCAGGCAAGGTAATAGAAGTTTATGCTCATTTCTGAATACAGTTTCGAAATCCCCCTAATGCAGATGAGTGGATAATAGTTTTACACCCCACTCAACACACCACTTGTAACCACTCTGGCCCCGTTCTAGCGCCTGAACCCAAACCTAACCCGCAAACTCTAAACCCTAAACNNTAAACCCTAAGCTTTAAACCCTAAAACCCTAAACTTTGCACCCTTAGCCCTTAACCCCAAACCCTAAACCCCTAAACCCTAAACCCCTAAACCCTAAACCCCTGAACCCTAAACCCCATAACCCTAAACCCCTAAACACCTAAACTGCCTCTTGCCTTGTCAAAGGCGTAGGTGCACGGGTGCAAGGCGCCGCCAGGGATCAGAAGACTGAGATGCTTCAGGGCAAGTACCCTCACTTACTCTTTAGGGTTTTAGGGTTTAGGCTTTAAGGTTTAAGGTTTAGGGTTTAGGGGTTAGGTTTCAAGACCTCGGGCTGTGCATAGGGTTCAGGCTGCAGTGGTGCCCTTAGGCTCTAAGGACTCATAATATAAGGCTTTTGGGCCCAAAGACCATACTGTACAAGGCTTTTGGGCTATTTTGAGCCTTAGGGTAGGTATAGATGAACCATAGATTTAGGTTTTAGGGTTTAGGGTTTAGGGGTTTCGAGTTTAGGGTTTA